TGATTTCCTGGAGGAAATAAAACTGAGAGAAATCTCACGATAATCCTTTTTAATGCTAAGTATTCTGTCTACATCCAGTCTCCTCAAAACTTGATTTGCTATAAAGCTTTCCTGGATTTGAAAAACCTAACAAGATGTCTTCAGTAATCCTGCTGGTATATGTTTGTTTTTCTTAGCCACAACGTCTTGTAAAATTGTTTTTCTTTGATAGATTTAACTTCATTCATGTCTCTCTTTGGGGTTGATATAACAGTGACCTAATTTAAGTTTACTTGATCTTGTTTTAAATTTAGACATGTTTCGGATACGAGCATGATACAAATCTGACTGTACTGAGAATTGTTGATGATGCTGAGGCATTGCTTGGTGGTATAAGGCTCTGATGCTGGCATCGACACAATCTAGTAAATATCTCCTGATTCAGGATGTAGAGCAGTCATCTTTTATACATAAAACAGCTTAACCTGATATTTACAAGAACATTTCTTACATATCCAAGCAAGGAACTTGATACAGAGATCAGGTTGCTGTTTTTCTCAAAGTGTGATTGAAAAGTACTGTTGGCTTGAAATTTAGATAGTGATCATTACCCTTGAATTTTTGAGGATTCTATTGAAAATAGATGAAAGAGTGTTTCTGTTTTCAACACAGCATTTCCCTCAGAAATCAATCTCACAAAGTTCTCTGTGAGTGGTCTGGGGGGTGGGATCCACAGTGTATTGGTTAAGTGTGAAGGTGTACTGACCATCAATCAAGTCCATGTGACTGATGTTATGATGACGGCCAATGACGGCAATTAAAACTGGTTCCCTCAGGGGTCCAGCCAATACATTGTATATATATAAAGGTCAAATAAGGTCACACAGATCTTTATTAGGGGCTTCAGGCCAACATCAATTGTCATCAAGCGTGAGACACACTTTTCTGAAACACACCTGTCCATTTTACTAATTAGCTTTTACCTGTCAATGCTTTACAGGAAAATTTAAAACAAATGTTTAAATTCTATTTTTTGTTCTAGCATTCACACACTTCTTTGTTTCATAATATTGAATTTATTTTGAAATAAACCTATTACAAAGAATTCTTTTTACACTTATTAAGTCATTTCCTTCCTTTGTGTTATTAAACAGACATTTTTCTGGCACAATACAACTCTTTTGTGTCTGAATTAAGGCTTCTCAACATCCAAGACTTTTCCAACTTTTTAACAAATTTCATATTTGCTGAAGTACAGTTTTGTGGTTGAAAATGGTTACAGTTAGGTAAACATTGAGAAGCTTATCCTAGGACTACAGTGATTAACTGTGCTATTCTGTAATCAGTGACAGTATACTTTTATCAACCAATTAGCTTATATTCCATCACATATAAAAGATAGTTGATGTTATCACACATAGTGGAACATTGTCTTTTTAACAATATGGCTATTCTGAATAAAATTGAAATTGATAGTAAATCTGGTGGTCTAGCGATTTTAATAAAGAGCATAACAGTAATCTTAGGTTTGATATCTTCTATAAGTGATCATTGTCAAACTGTTGATTCAATTAAGTGAATTAAAAGTTTGGTTAAAATACACATTGATGGTTTATAACTTTACATTTGTGCACTTGTATATAAATCCATCCAAGTTGAATGGTTCTAGTGTCCAGTGTTGGTCTTGGAATTTAGAAAATGGTCTTGTACAAAAATGGGTTGGTTTTCAGGAATGAGGTTCTCATGTTTAGAAATGCTTGATATTATTTCACAATGCGTTTCTTAGCTCTTCAATGCTTGTCACAGAACCATTATATACTACTAAATAACTAGGTCTAAATTCAATTATCAAAATCAGTAAAATTGTCCTCACATTCTTCTACACTGAATGATCTTTATGGCAATATAAGTTTGGTATTTTACAACCACAAGAATGCATTATCAGCTGTGAGCAATGCTTCAGTACTTGTCAATCGATACATCTTGAGTACATGAATAGGCGATTGGAACTACACGGAGCAGTTCCATTGTATCATTGTGGTTTATATGGAAATGGGCAGTGATTTTCCTACCACTGATGCCAATGTCGTGTTATGAGTCATCACCAAAAAGCTTACGGCAATCATCAAACTGTGGATGTTAATTACTTGAATACGACACACACGCAATATATATATATAAATTGACAGTTATTGGATAATGAAAGGGCATTGAATCTTTTCATGAACTCGTTACTGAAAAATGTCAGTATGAACAAATGAGAGATATTGTTTCTCAAGAATTTCATTTAGTCCTATAAAAAGACATTATGTATTTTCAAAAAACGTTTGTACACAAGAAGAAAAAAGAAATCAGGGGATTTGTACCTGGAGGGAAACTTCCCGTTGAAACCATATTTAATAGGTTTGGTATTTCACTTCAATGGATATATAACATGTATTCATCCATTGAAGCATTTGACAGACCCGGAATAGATCTGTTGTCGGTGGTAGGGGTATTGTGGTAGGCTACTGGACCACACAGCCAAGCACCCAACACCGCTATTGTTAACAGGTCAATTTCCCCAGGGGAATTTAAACATAAACAAACCATATGAAATGCTACACAGTGCAAATCTTGGTAGCATTAAATAGAACAGGTACCTTGTAATTGTGTGACCTCTCTCCTCCCCCTTTTTTTCTTTTTCACTGTGACTCTATGGAATGGACTACTACATAAGAACAGTTGTAATCACCTCCTGAAGATTGTTCGTGGTCCTAATCAGTAAAGCTTATTTTATATCTTGTGGAATACCTTTAAACAAGGTTTTCATGAAATCTTAGGTATTTTAGATTACTAGATACATACATTTTTACCTGAAAAGTGAAAAAGAGGAATGGATTTATAGTTCATAAGATTTAATCAAGAGAAAAACAGAAAGTTCATAACTTTTGATATAGCAATATTGATGTGAAATGGTATGGTAAATTATTTTTAACATTGATAAAACATCCTGTAGACTATCAAACAGCTCTGGATGCTGATATTAAAACTATTTTCATTTTGGTACTGGATAAAGGGTTTTTGTGTCAAAATGTTAAACTTATCAAACAGTCTCCCCTGCCCTCCATCTTTCCACAGCCATACAGCCATGTCCCCACTACCTCCTGTAGGGACCTGGAGTCAAGGAGCTGCATTGTAATAAGCTGCAGCCTCTTACTTATGATCATTTCCTGTTGGTCCAGAGACAAGGGAATTTGTTGTGTTAATGTTTGTTGTCGTGAAAACCCCCAGGTCTCCCAGAATCCTACACAAAAACATAGATATGCTCTCGCATACAGTACCTGGCAATGCGAGGTTTGGCTCATGATGGCTGATCCTTAGAGAGATGTTGAATTAGTCATGTAGAGAATTTTGTCGTGCACAAATAACAAGCTAAACCTGTTTATATTTTAGCTTTAACACCAAACATTTTCTTGTTTCTCCTTTTTGTCGTTTTTCCCTTCTTCTATTAATTGTTAGGTATTCAGGTATTTTTTTTTGCAAGAATATTTTGAAATTAATCTTAAGGTGTTAATGAAATTGATACAGATTGTAAGTGTATCTCTCCAGATAATGAAATGACAAGGCTTTGAAAATTTTGCTCCGTGGATTGATAGAGAATGGCAGTTCATCTGTTGATAACATGCTACTAGGTTATTTTAAAGAACAGCATGAACAGCAGTGTTTTTGTACCAAGAAAGCAATTAAAAACATTCATATATGGCAGATTATTTCTTATCCAGCAGACACAAATAACTAAATTGACATATCTTAATGCACAATTCATCACATTTATTTATGAGTGAGTGCAAAAATGAATTGATGAGATTTAATGATTCTGGGGTTCGATAAGTGTAAGATTGTGAGTGTTTCCTCTGAGTCATCATCCCTCCAGAGTTTTGCTGTTTTTGTTATGTATGTATATAAATATACTACCCATCTGTTTAGCGATGCTGTGTCTTGATAAATCTTTTGGCTAGAGAGTAGCTGGCACAGATATTTCTGTTAGCGGATGTGTTTATAGTGTAGTACATATAGAAGTTCACACTCCATCTCTCGGGGACGCATGCAGAGCTGGCAAAATTTCGTATATCAAAACAAGAATACTTATATGCTGTTAGAAGTATCTTTTAGTCGTTAACCTTGGTCCCAGCTTCAGCAGCTGGCATGCTCCTTGCCAACAGAGATAGGCTTTCATCTGATAATCAGTATAAACTTTAAAAAACCATATAAAAACACAGATATAACTTGACACTATAAAACACCCTCCAATTGCTATGGAAAAAATCTGCAAAGTATACAGAGAAATTTTGTAAGATGGCCTAAATTTGGATGATTATAAATTGGCACGGTTTTCAAGGTTTGTTTCATAAGACTATAGAAAAAGGTGGGATTATTACACCCCAAGTGTCAGATAATCCAGCTGAAAATTACCATGTGACATGTCGGTTAAGTTATCAGAACCAGATGATAGTTGTATAGGAGCTGTCAGAGTTTCTGAAACATATCAGCACTTTGTTTTTCTTTACATTGTATAACACTCAATTTAAAAAAGATTTTTAGAATCAGCTGCCAACTTTATGCAAGCTACAATTATCCAGGATGAAATCTGTCGACATTTAACCAGCCTTGAACTTCCGTAATTTGAAGTATAAAAACTTATGGGATTTTTTTCATAAGTTTGGATTGACATTAAGAAATAAAGAAACTTGCTGCCAAATTTTAACTAACCTTGACATGTCATGTTAAACTTCATACTGTAGGAATATATACATATCTACATACATACTGAAAATTTGTTCTTTTCATATGAATCATCTTGTTCTATGAAGGATATTTTGACATTTGTCAATCTTAAATAAGTGTTTTGTTGTGAAAGTTTGATGAGGATGATATTTATATTGTCAATCATTTAGAAACTAATTTTTTATATTTTGTTTCAAATTTTGATGAAAGAATTTTTCCATTAGATATGTAATATCAAGTTTTCTTTCTTTCAGGATGATTTTGATTCATTGCGGCCGCTCTGCTACCCAAACACCGACGTCTTCCTCCTGTGTTTTAGTGTTGTCACACCAACTTCATTTCACAACATTTCTGAAAAGTGGGTTCCAGAAGTGAGAAAACATTGTCCAAAGGCACCAATTATTCTGGTGGGGACACAGTGTGACCTTCGCAATGATGTCAAAGTTCTGATCGAGCTTGCCCATTACAAAGAACAACCAATCCCAGAATCGGAAGCACAGGCACTTGCTGAGCGTATCGGGGCAAGTTATATTGAGTGTTCATCACTTACACAGAGAAACCTCAAGGAAGTCTTTGACACAGCATTACTGTCTGCCCTTAAACTAACAGGGCCTCTTAAAAGGACAAAAAGTTCACGGAGGTCGAAAAAGGGCAAAAAGCAACATGAACAATCGCCACCACCAATGGTGTCGGGCAAGCCTTGTGCCAAAAGGACAGGATGGAAACGATTCTGTTGTTTTATGTAAAGTAGTTTTGGATTGCATGGAAAGCAGAATTCAATTGTCATTCAAGGATTTGTTGAAAATGAAATAATGTGCACAGATTTGCAACAGACACATGATGTTCAATCCTGCAATATTGCAATACAGACTTTGGCTAATCAAATTGTGTGACACATGATAGATTCACCAGACTGCCGCTACAGGTGATTTGTGTATCGGTCATTTAGAAGTAATGAATGTATACACACCTACAGAGATTGTGATGAGTCTCTGTCTGTCAGTGCAGGCCGCAGTTTGCATGATAGCACTGACGAACTGTCAACTGTCGTTGACTCACAAAACAGAAGACAGATGAAGTCGCTTTTTTAGGCAGGTTGATTGTGTACGATCATAAATTAATTTATCATTGAGAGAGAGCGAAAGAGAGAACACATGCTCATACAAATTTGCATGTTTTAACAAGGAGTGTGTGAGTCATGCAATGTTGATGTCTGCTACAGTGATAGAGGATGATTTTACTGAAATTAAACAGGAGAATCTTTTGTCACAAATGAAGGGTGTTGCACATCCATTGTGGTGTGCTAATGTATTGGGCTCAAGTGATATTTTTTGGGCTGTGTGTTTTACAGATCAAATTATGCCATTGTTGTGAGTTATGCATCCATCTTAATTGTTTCCATGTAGATTATAGATAATTCTGGCATCACAAAAGAAACAATTATGTAGCGCTTTTCAAATACTTGTGACATATTTACTACCCTGCTACCTTTCTTGTTTTAGGAAATCAGTTAATGGTGTAGAAGAAAAATCTTTTCAAAATTAGAAAAAAAGGAAAAAGAGATTTGATTATTGATAATGTTGTTCAACCTTTAGGGTCATTTGGCATGGGAAATGCGTGTGAAAATGTATGGTATGCAGTTTCATTATAACAATTGTCATAATACAGACTTGTATTTTTGGAGTCCTAGTGTCTAGAATAGAATACCTTTTAACAAGCGGGTAATCTAAAGGAGCTTTGTTTCTACCTAACTTGCCTATTAGATCTAGGTATTCTAATATGACTTGTGGCAGTGTTTTTATCGGACTCTTATCAAATTTTTGATGTTCGTTTTAACTTCTCGGACTATTTTATGCTATCAGGACGACTGATATGGATCTTAACATTGTCACATACCCTATTCCCTCACATGAAAGCCTGATACAGGTATGATCACCATTATCACAGAACCATATTTCCTTATCCTGTCAGTGTGGCTTTGTCTTGGCAAGTGTTGGTACTTTGCCCAATCCTTGGTCCATTTGATGAACAGGTTCTCATGACAAGCGTGACAAGTCTTGAATTAATTAACAAAGGTGTTGAAAACCTGAACAAGGTGTACTACTTAAGAGAATAATTATGATTTTTTTTTTGACAAAGAAAGGTCTAGATAATTAGTAGAATATTGACATGCCACTATGATAGCAATTATAAGGCATGGTACTGAATTTTTTACATCGTTCTGGATCGCGACCTCGAACATATTTTACTGAATCATTCCTCATACCACACAAACCACCTCCAATCAGATTACAATAAATCTGGCTTGTCAAGTCTTTGCATAATATACGCCAGGCAAATTGAATATAGTTCTCTCAGTAACAGCAGTTTAAGGACTTATACAATTTCTTATTTTTCATTTTGAACAAAACTGGTGTTGATGGATAGATTTGTATTAATAGTCGTTTTTGTCCCTCAATTTGATTTGGCCTGACCAGATTATCTCCATATCTTCTCATGTCTCTGTATCATGCTCTCAGCTTTTTCCATATTCCCCTCAATCCTACAGTGATGGGAATGAAGGGTAAAAAACATGATATTCCCCACCCATTCCCTTTGACTGTCCCCACCCCACCTCCCTTCCATCCTAACTTTACCTAGTCAATTTCCACCGCGGACATCTGTCACCACGAAAGTGATTCTTATCCACGACTTCTTTCCTCTCCCTGGAATTAGACAAGTATCTTTATTTAACATTTTTAATTAATAATTGTAATTAAATGGTGCTGCTACTGTATAACTAACTATTCCTTTTTTAAGATATTTTATTTGAACCACAAAACTTGACGAAGGTTCTCTATAGAACTTGGTAGCCTACTTTTACTGTCACAAACATGTCAATTTCATATAAGGGAACAAGATAATTCAGCAAGTATGTCATAGTTACAGTTAAGCATAATGTAATATTTTTGGTCAGACAATCAAATCGACTTATCATAAAACTTGTACCATAATTATTCCGAAACACCTTATTTGTAACTGCAGAAGACTTGATCAGGAGAAATGTGCAATTTAGAAATGTGTTGGTTCTTGCAATATGTTTTTTTTCTTCATTCGAACAAAAAGAAACAAAAACAAACGAGTTTGGACAATCATATTGTTAAAACATAATTGTCCTTGTATATGTTATCTCACTGGTACAAGTTATACCTGTTTGACAATTGCACAGGTAGATTTCATGATAAGCAGATTAGATGGAGCTGACCTTTACATTGATTCTGTGTTATGTATGTGTATATATATGTGTGTGTGTGTGTGTGTGTGCGCGCGCATGTGTGGAAATGAGATGCTCACCTGTTTCTTGAAGCATCAACTGTTATTAAGCTCTCACGTCTTTCATTCATGTTCGTATGTAGATTGGTTGTCCTGCAGGCATATCTGGAACTAGTCCCATCGAATTGCTTGCGTATGTCAAGGTCAAGGCCAAATGTTTTGCTTGAAAGGTCAAGGCCACATCTTTCGCTTGAGCTCAGCAATAATACCTTTTTTTAAACAATATTCCTGTTTGTTTTTTGTCAATTGTCTATTAAAATATTACCTGATTTATGCATTTTATTAAAATTATTTTAATGAATTTCAAAGAGAATAAAAAAAATCATTGTTAATATTAAAAAATTATCGACATTAGAAATTATTTTAAAAATTGGATGTTTTACAGCATTGGTAATTATGGGATTGTATTTCCTAAGCCTTAGACATATTGTCAAAGATAATCAGCTAATGAAGATGAGTTCTTGTCAGTTTCTCAAGCAATGTAAGTATTTTGTAAACATATCTGTAGTGAAAAAAGCTTGCCGGAAAATTCACCACAAAAATCTACACTATAAAACTTACAAAATGAGATTTTTTATTATGAATAATTACTGATATGACATGTATATTTATATATTTTGTACAAGAAAAAGTGCCTTTTAATGAGTAGAAGTTTTGACGTTGACGAACTGTTGCCCTTTATTGGAGCCTGCTTGCTTATCTAAATGTATGAAAGAAGTCTACCTACATATAGATATGGTCTTGTGTTCAGGAATTTGGGTTAGGTTGGAAAATAGAAATATTTCCCATTGAAATGGGTAAACAGTTTAAATTCTCTGGATTTGTATGAAAATGGAAACAAAATAATGACCGATTTGACATTTAGGTGTTGAGGTGTCAAAACATTATTATTCTCCGATCGTTTTCACAACAAATACAGTCTACTTAAAATCGGCTACAAGACAAAGAGATTGTGAAATTAACGCATTACATAGGGTCATGTTCGTATCGAGAGAGATAAAACGAAGGTTTGTATTACAGTGATGTGTCGCCCTATTGAAGGGAGCCACGAGGGTAATAAGATCACCATTGTTGGGCTGTTATGTTTATAGGTTGGTGGAGAATGCAATGTTTATCAGATTAAGCCACGAAAACATTTACGAAATGCTTCTGTTCTCTGCCAAATTTACCCACAAATGTACATGATTTTATGTCCAGTGTCGTCTGCCAGCAAATATTACGCGATTAATGGCTTAACTGTGCCGAAATCCAAAACTTTTATTCAAATTCCTAATCACGGACCACAAGTGTACGTAGTCCTAGGGACATTGTAACGTCATTTGTTAAGACTGCTGTCAGCAAAAACAGCGAACGTTCACCACCAATTACGTCATGTGCACGTCAGAGGTTTTGACCTACAGACAGTTTGTCGAGCGTCTCAATTTTTATTGATTTATTGCCTGTTGAATAAAGATTTCTAAAAGAAACATTAGAATTTATTTGTTATTTGTGAATGATAAAAAAAAGCGTCACCTATATGTATACGCATGGACCGTGGACTCTCATTGGTCCACGGAAAAAGTATCACGTCGAAACAAAACGGAATGCACCATGATGTTCACACTTGAAACATTTGTAACTTAGATCCTTCAGCTCTCATGCTTACCAATGGCAGTAGCAGTGGTTTGCGCTTTGTATTCTCACAAGCTTGGTCAAATAAACCATATACCCAGAAAAACATACCAAAACAGATATCAGTTGTGGGGGAAGAGCGCTCTGGCTGTTTCATTGATAAAAAGCCACCCATTGAGGTTGTGCTGTTCGTACATTTGTTGTTAAGTATATAGGCGAGAGAAACTGTTACATATCCCTGCCTTACCGACACGCTCCATCTGATCATGATGAGGAAACCAGTATATCCCAATGGATTCCAACACCAAACGTACCATGGTGATAATCGGAAATTTGCTACAGAGCTAGTTATCATACAGATCTAATCTGTAGTGATGTAGATTTACTAACACTGACAAACGGCATGGTTTATATTCAGAACATTCTTGTCAGAAAATCTATTTTTTATAGTTTGTTGCTGAAGTTTAAGCTTCAGTGTGTAATTTATTCAAGAAATCATGTGTGTTGTCATCTCCATTGTGTTCCTTAATGACAGCACCAGCTCTCATTTGATGATGTAACATTTCTTTATAAAGTCGTCTGTGGGATATTATGGCTAATAAAAACACGTAACCATACCAAGAACGATGGCGGAATGCGAAATGTTCAACATTCCCACGGGATGGGGACCGTCAAAGATGCTGGCACAGGCGTAGTTATGGAAACCATATGACGTATGAAAACGAGACCAAAAGATTCCAGTAAACTCATTTCATTAATACCGTCCCGAAATGTTGGCGGGATTGGGGGACAAAGCAGATGGTCGATGCCAGAGCATACAGGGTATATATGATCCCTATATTACTGAAGTAAACAGATCGGCGGAATATATCATTATTTATTAGAGTCGACCCACTTCTGAGGTATTTGGGGGAGTAAGCGTGTACCAATGTGTATCAGGGTTTTATTAAAGGGACTAGTACACCAATAAACTATCAGAGGCTACCAGGTAATTTGGATTAAACGGACAGTGTTACATTAGTGTTCACGAAATCTCACTTTTGTGTGTGTGTGTTCGACAGATAGTTGTAAATTAGTAATTTGTTTTTAGAAAGAAAATATTTTACTGATGAAATTCCACGAGGTTCTGAAAATAGATGGATCATTGGCGGGAATTAAAATATTACTTTCGTCAAAAAATCACCTAGGAATCCCCACGAATATCACTGTAGGCTGGAAGCGGAAGGGGAGTTCAGACCAGAAACAGTGGGTATTTCATCAAGATATCATTTTTAGAAAAAGGTGTGATTTGGAGATGCGATTTATACAAATCTTTGTCTTAAAGTATAGTTTATGAAAAAAATCGGATCATTTTAAGATATCTGATGTCTGGCGGTGTGTAGATATTCGTATATTGCGTGATTAAAGAATTTATCTGAATCAAAGAAATTCTATCCAAATTGCACAAGGCGTAATTACATTAAAAAGAATGCGTGAGATTGGATCATTTTCAGAAAAAAGTAATAAAGTCACAGTATGTATTATATTATAAAATTTCCATTACGCAACTAATTGCACTTTTGGTGGATCAAAGCGCAGAAGAAATCCTATTACATATAAAATCATTTACGTACTTGTAAGCGAAATGCGTGCATACTGTCATCCCCACGCAAAGCTGCCATATCGTCACGGATTCACTCGGACCTTCTGTTAGAGTAACAACATTAAAACGTCAACTTAGTCATCGTTATGACCTCTTTCCATCCAAATAGATATAATATGTTTGAAAGTGTTTGTCCTTAAATCTCACGGACACGTCGGTCAAGTGTGGTCAACTTTTTACTGCTTTTGGGACAACCTTAACGGTATTTATGGTCCGGATTGGACAAGTTTCACATTATAGAAATAGAATATACAGATGATGACTTAGTGGACAATACTGCCCAATACAGTGATCACATAAACCTGACTAGACAGGTACTCGGAATGCACAGGTTCTGAATGACTTGGCTTAGTAAATATATTTTCATATCTCAATATATGAAAACCGAATGTTCCTTTTTCGGATTTTCTTTCCACTTGAAATGCGTAATACAACATTCGTATTGGCTTATAACTCGTTACGTCATTTACTTTTTGAGAAACAAAAACACATACCGTCAAACTGACCAGCCTTTGTCACCTTGCTCCGTGCCGCACATGGCCGTTTATCACCCAACTGGCTACTCTTCGGACATGTCAGTTGTCACTCAAGTAGTTACACATTCCTGTCAGTAATATAGTCATATCGTTCAAGTATGAAATTGACATTCCATGAAAATTAGAAATTCGTCAGCATTCCGAACATATTATTAGGGCGCTTAAACATCAAAACAATAAAGAAAAACGAAACAATACTAAAAAAAACATAGCGTTATCATGTTCATGTTATACTAAAAGAGAGCCCGGCCCGGTTTACTTTTTGAGTTTGGAGTAGCGGACAATGTTTGAAAGGTGCAGAAAGAGTACACTGACAACATTCTACTTTCGGTTTCATTTCTCCTTAAGAGGACATTCAGAAGAAGTCTCGCAAACATTAGAGGTGTGTCAAAGAAGAAAATGTTTACATTTTGAAGATGTTTATGACACGATTCTCACGCGCCGTCCGTATCTATATGATTTATGTTTCCCGGCTCGTGTGGTAAAACTCTCACTATCAATAAGTGAAACGTTTGTTTGTCATCTTTACAACACTTAAACACCAACAAAAACAGCGTAAACGTCGAGGTGTGCTGTCTTGTGCAATGTTGGCTTGATTAGTAGATTTGACACGCTCGGTACTAACAGAACACGATTGTTTGTAAATGTGCAGACATGTGCGTAATTGAATTAGATATATTTATTCGTCTGAACATATCATACATGTACTATGTACATTACTTTAAAGTAGTTCATGATTTCATCATCAAATTAATTAAACTCTGAACTGGGAATCACTTTGCATTATACCCATTTTATATAGTTTATTTGTTTATTGGATTATCGCTTTGTAAGGCGGGTAACTTCATCACTGAATATCATGCGAAAGACCCGCCGCATGATATGTAAAATGTCTTGAGACGCGTCACATTATTGATTTAGTCTCTTCACAATTGGCTGAAACTAGTGTTTATGTTGAAATTCCGTAAACCCGGATCCATATGTGCTGTTTTTAAATTTATTCTGAAAAAAAGGAAATATTCGGAATAACGATTAAGGATTCGAAGTGCAGTAATTCGGGCACTTACTAACAAAAAAAAATATTAATTTTTTTGGGATAAAATGTTTAATTAATGTTTTTTTATAAACATGGATCAATGGAATACCGGCTGGAATTGAAGCACGTTTACATCTATATATTTCAAACAATGCCAAAGTTTCCCAATAAAAACTGACCGAGCTGAACTCAAACAGCTGTGTTAAACAAAATATTGAAAAACAAATTGGAAAAATTGTCGAACTGAATGGATAAGAGGATATATTAGCACATAAATGAAATCACTTTGAGGCTTTTGGTGCACATTCCGGATTAAGGGATTGCAAGCCACGTGCAGCTGTTTGATCTACCTAGACCCTCTGGTATTACAGATCACGTGACATGTTTTGTGTTTCATTTCCTGTTTCTGGGTCTCTGTATTGTTGTTAAGTTTATTTATATATACAAATATCACCGGCATCTGATAACTAGATTAAACAAAACCGACTTTAGCCACCTTATTTCAAAGTCAAACTTTTTTTCGCCAAGTACGACCTAGGATCTCGGAAGATGATTGTCGCCGAACAGGGTATTCATTCTTAAACATACTCAAGGTTCAAGCTTTTTTGTCACCACGTATGGACGATATGTTACAACAAGTGTATGACGTCACTAGCGGCTCAATGTCAAATGAAAATTGTGACAGGTGCTCTCATTTGATTCAGTCCAAATGATATTTGATTGTACATGAAATATTGACAAAACACCAGAAATGTATTGTCTGCCATCAGTGTAACCTTTGTGTCCAGGTAATTGTCGCGATATTTTTCTTTGAGTTCTGAGAAAATTATACAAAACAGCTTCGCAATAGGGAAAATTCCCTTTACCTCAATCAGTAAGTATGGACTGCTGAGAATCGTGGCAGCACACAACTCGCTTTCCCGTTACGGCCATCATTTTGGGGCATGGATATATAGAACGAGTTTTGAGTGTAGTGTTCGTGGTTGAACTTGCAGAAAATGGGAAAGATGAAGGGAATATTGACAATACCTAGAATTACGTTTCCCATCCCGGTAGATCAGCTGACGGTGAATCAGGGGTTTCGGGTTCGATCCCCGGTGGGCGCGCATTACTGGCCTTTCTTACTACAGGTTTCTTTTTATAGCCGACTTTTATTCCTCTATTGTTCCCTTGTCACACAGCATCAGAAATCGGTCACTTTTATACAATAGCCAACAAAAGGTCAACACCTACCTTTATGTATTGAAGGTCAAGTTTTTTATTATCTATTTACAAAGGTAGGAGGATGACCTCGCTACTCATAGTAGGTAACAGTATATCAACTGGAGATGACCGTTAAACCAAATTTCAAATTTTCAAGGGATAAATTTCGGACAGATATCCAGAAAATTGAGACATTTATAATTTGTAACATCGATAGGGATTGTTTTAAAAACAGATTCTGGAAGACAGGTTCTTACAACTGTTTTTTACCAATGCATTCACTGAAATAGATGCTATTTTAAGTTGATTCAATTTAATCTAAATGTACTTGTAATAAACAAACAATGATAAGAGACCTGTTGATATCCGTTTCACCCAGTACCGGAATCTGGCAAATGCAAGCTATTCTGACACCACACACACCTAAATGGAAAGCAA